GAATTTGGGAATTTGGGAATTTGGGAATTTGGGAATTTGGGAATTTGGGAATTTGGGAATTTGGGAATTTGGGAATTTGGGAATTTGGGAATTTGGGAATTTGGGAATTTGGGAATTTGGGAATTTGGGAATTTGGGAATTTGGGAATTTGGGATTTAGGAATTTGGGAAGTTGTGAATTTGGCAATTTGGGAATTTGGGAATTTGGGAATTTGGGAATTTGGGAATTTGGGAATTTGGGAATTTGGGAATTTGGGAATTTGGGAATTTGGGAATTTGGGAATTTGGGAATTTGGGAATTTGGGAATTTGGGAATTTGGGAATTTGGGAATTTGGGAATTTGGGAATTTGGGAATTTGGGAATTTGGGAATTTGGGAATTTGGGAATTTGGGAATTTGGGAATTTGGGAATTTGGAGATTTAGGAATTTGGGAAGTTGTGAATTTGTGAATTTGGGAATTTGGGAATTTGGGAATTTGGGAATTTGGGAATTTGGGAATTTGGGAATTTGGGAATTTGGGAATTTGGGAATTTGGGAATTTGGGAATTTGGGAATTTGGGAATTTGGGAATTTGGGAATTTGGGAATTTGGGAATTTGGGAATTTGGGAATTTGGGAATTTGGGAATTTGGGAGTTTGGGAGTGTGGGAATTTGGGAGTTTGGGAGTTTAAGAATTTAGGAATTTGGGAATTTGGGAATTTGAGAATTCAGGGATTTAGGGATTTAGGAATTTGGAAATTTGGGAATTTGGGAATTTGGGAGTTTGAGAACTTCGAAATTTGAAAATTTGGGAATTTCAAGTTTTTGCGACATTAGAATTCAGAGTTTGGAATTTAGGATGTTTGTAAAATTTTGGATATGGGTGCCTACGAATTTGGGAGAGTAAGTATTTGAGGATTTATTTGGGAGAGATTTGGGAGAGTAAGTATTTGGGGATTTATTATTTATAAAGATGTAATAATATACAAATTTGAGGATTTAAAGATTTAGGAATTTAAAAGCTTCCAGATTCTAAAATCCTAAAAGCACAGAAACTTAGAAACTGACATTAAAATTTGACAATTCATAAATGAATTCAGTTGCAGTACAAATATACCTAATAATGATCGCACGTTACCAAATTGAATCCTCAAATGTCTCTCGGCGCAAGTTAATCGATCAACCACCTTATCAACAATTCGCAGCAGCCGTACTCGGCAAGAAATTTAATTACGACCACACATGCGTGACAATTCGACGGATGCAGGCATTCGTGGATTTTAATTTACTTTCATTGTAAGAACGCCGGTTGACTGATCGAAACGAGATTTCCTTTGACTAGTAGGCAATGCATTTAGCACAGTCGACTTGTTAACGAGAAACCTTGTATCATTAATCAACGTCCATTGGAAATTTCACGTTATATCCCGTTGTATGCACCTGCGCGCACATGTATGCGCGGGACATTTCATTTTAGTTTATGACGAACGAACCGCGAGAAATTAATAGATCACTTCGTTCAGCGATATTACGTATCTCCGATAACTGAAAACAAAACAAACGAACAGATTGTTAAATTGGCTGATATGACAGAAAATAAATAGTTTCGTTCTTATCGATGCAATCTCGGTTGTGATTTAATATCTTATAATATTATGAATATTTTTAATCGACTCGTATAATTATTTCATTCGTCAAATAGGACAAATTTATTCCCACCAATTTGTGCTTGTCTAATGCACATTAATCTTGAATTCGGAACTGCCGTGTTATTTACGACTAGACAAATAAGACACAAGAATTAATGTGCTCTCGTGATATATTACGACATTAGTATAAAATATGATTATACCAGTTAATAGTTGTGAAACAAGTAACGAGATACTGTATTAATGGAATAAATATTAATCGTGGATGTACACAGTATGTCGGAAAAATGACGGAACTTTTTAAATTTAACGAAAACTACTAGAGTCATCTATTAAAACAATATGTCATCTGAAAACAGTATACCTCCTCTACAAAACACAACAATCATTATTGAAATCGTGTAACGTATTGTAAACTTATAGCGTTTAATGCGACAGAATCTTTCGTTACCGTGTCACAAAGTCACGGGCAAGCACAACAAATTGCTCGCGTTGAATATTGCGAGGATCTTATCAAAACAGCCAGACGAAACTGTGCATTCCTGGAATCAATTGTAACTAGTGATGAGACTTGGTTCTTCAAGTATGAGCCTCAAACAAAGCGCCAAAGTGCTACGTGGAAATTTCCAGGCTCTCCAAAATCAAAAAAATTGTGATTCCAGAAGTCCCAAGAGAAGACAATGTTAATTTGCTTTTACGATTCTAAAGGAATTATACTTCGGGAATTCGTTCCACAGGAACAAAATGTTAATGGCGAATATTATCTGGGTGTTGTGGAACATTTGTGGAAGAGGATCGTTCGTGAGGGGCCCAAATATCTAGCGCCGGGAAGTTGATTTCTGTTGCATGATAACGCACCAAGTCACAGAACTGTCGCTGTTCGTGATTTTTTGGCGAAAAGACAAGTCTCTGTGCTTCAACATCCTCCAAATTCACCTGACTCTCTATGTGATTTCCTTTTTCCAAAACTGAACCGCTATCGTCGATATTCCCTAGAATTTTTCTAACCTACTATTAAGTTTAATGTAAATCAGTATTTAATTAATAAAGCAGGCGTCGTAATTGCAATTGATCGATCAATTATACCATAAAAGAAAGATACTAATGATCGTATTAATTGACAATATCTGAAATTGGTCTCATAAGTTCCAAGACTCGAAGACATTATTTATTGTCCGATTTGATTAATAATAGCTCGCGCCTGAAATCTATAATGAAGGTACGATGAAAATGTATAATTCACTGGAAGCAATTATAGTTTATACGGATGAATAGAAACCCTCCCATGTGATTCTTCGAAGTGGCACATCCTTGACACGGTTCAAAGGAGCCCACACCTTCGGCCAAATTAATATTACACGCGAGATCACATTCATAATCCCTGCAGCCAGATCTTCATTACAAGGGCGGAAAGGGAGTGACAACGAAGAAAACGACGCGTATCCTCTATAAAGGGAACAATGATACACGGTGCCATTGTTTCGGAGACAATGGATACGATGCCTTCGTGAGCTGAAAAAAGATCGAAAACAAAAAATCCTTGTCCCAGAGGATGATCTCTCTGGTTCTGAGTCACTTCTTTGCTTGCGTGAATATTAAATGACTCTTTGAACGTACTTCAATTCTCTTTAACAAATATCTTCCGGTATTGAAGTTATTAATTGGCAAATTTTCGAATTTTTGGATTGTGGACGGTAATTTTAATGCCTTGTTATTTGTCTTGATTACAAATTTCTTCGTTTCTAAATTTCTGAATCTTCAAATTTTTGGACTCTCAAATTTTTTATTTCGCAAATTCTCAGTTCTCTAATTTCTCAAATCTTCAAGTTCTCAATCCCCTAAATTCTCAATCCCTCAAATTTTCAATCTCCCAAATTCTCAGATCCCCCAAATTTTCATCCCCCTAAAATTCTCATATCTCCAAATTCTCAATCTCCCAAATTCTGAACTCCCCAAATTCTCAGACTCCAAAATTCTCAATCCCCCAAATTCTCAATCTCCTAAATTCTCAATCTCCCAAATTCTCAGACCCCCCAAATTTTCATCCCCCTAAAATTCTCAGATTCCCAAATTCTTAATCCCCCAAATTCTCAATCCCCCAAATTCTCAATCCCCCAAATTCTCACATCCCCAAATTCTCAGATCCCCTAATTCTCAATCCCCCAAATTCTCAATCTGCCAAATTCTCACATCCCCAAACTCTCAGATCTTCTACTTCTCAATCCCCCAAATTCTCACACCCCCAAATTCTCAGACCCCCAAGTTTTCGACTCCCCAAATCCCTAAATTCCTAAATCCCCACTAAGTACTACAATTATATAACCCAACAGAAAATGTCATTTAATCTTCAAATCCATTTTAACTAACCCATATCTCAGAAACAGAAGTCGCACTATATCATTACGATTCAATTTCTCTCTCACATTAGAATTGCTGTTTCTCGATAAACATTACCGATATCCGTTTTCCCCTAGATTCCAAACGTTCCATTTGCATTACGTAATTGCAAGGAAGAAAGTGCGAGTATCATTTTTTGTTGTTGTTATCGAATATTATCTGCCATTCGCTGATATTTGTTTTTAGTGTCTTCTTTTTCATACGAGCTCCGTTTCATACGTGAACTTAACCGGTTGACATCCGCCGGAAACCTGGATTCTTTTGCAAGTTTCTCGTGTGAACCGTGCACCAGTGTTCGTGGGTTTAAACGCCTCGGTGAAAAATTAAAATTGATCAAATTAGTCTCGTATAAACGTCAAGTATTGCTGTATTCGTGAACCTGTAGATACTGCGATAAAGATCAAAGAAATAATGCAATTAAAACGCTACTTTTATGAGCAATTCATATATCCTTACATTATTGCTTTTAATAATTCAGTGTCTACTGTTCTGATCTTTCTAGAGATTCGTATTATTTCGTTTAAAAATTACTATTTATTGAAAGAGCTATTTTAGAGTACTTATTACTATATTTCATTTATACTACCAGAAGTTGTTGTAGGTGTACCTTAACATTTCTTTTGATATTTTATTTATTTAAAAAAAATTGTTACGGTAAAGTAATTATTTAAAAAAAATTGTTGCAATGAAGTGATGAATTTTATTTTTCGTAAAATTATGGAATGCAACCGATTTTGAAACTAGACACAATGTATGTCAATAGAATTCATGAGATTTCTCGTCAGAAATGTGCATTATTGCTTGCATGATTGAAATCGTCAGGAAAAATAGAATCGAGTGGCGAATACAGTGATTTTATTTGGAAATAAGATATTCGCATACCTAACTGACGTAACAATCTGTAATCATAGAACGTAAAGCACCGAGTTTCCAACGAATTCCTGTAATGACCGTACATTTCCTTTTCTTTTGTAGATGCGTGGCTGGAATGGCAGAAAAGTTGCGCGAGGCGGCCGCACGTGGCGACGTTGCACGAGTTGCGCGTCTCCTTGACGAAGATATTAAACCATTACCGGATGAGGTGACTTCATTTCCGTTTTATATTATTTACAGTATATTCTTCTTCAATACTTTATAGTATATTATTCGTCACATTTTTATAGCATATTATTCATCACTTTTTTATAGTATATTATTTCTCTTTTGATGTATAGATATTTACATATGTACAGTAAAATATTCATATACATATGTGTGTATGTATACATACATATATGTATATGCATAAGTAAATGATTCTTTGCAAAAATTCTTAAAAACATTATAAATATCACAGATTAAAATCTCGGTTACTTAAAAATTTTCTTTTCAAACTTTATTTTATTTTCACACATGACAAACGTGTTACGTTCATATTCTTGAGTAACATTTATACAAAAGAATTTAACACCGTCATAATATTCAGAATGATGTTCTTAAATATATCTAATTTCTACATTTTTTATTTATGCAAAAAAGATTTTCCTCTATAAGATTCATTTTACATTCACATTCCTGTATTTGTCTCTAATTTTCATTACATTTAAATTGTCTCGTACCTATCGCTTTTACTGTGTTGTTCAAAAGCATTGCATATAGACGCAAATGAATGAGTTCATAAATCAAGATTATAAATGTTGCATATCCCAGAAAGAAATTTCTGCAAAACAAACGAAATACCACGGTAACATTTAATTAACAGAGGAAGAACATCCAATTATGTGAACAGACATTCGTGAATTCTTTCGTACAAAGTTATTAGCGTTTGTTCCAGTTTTAATTAAGTCTGATGAAGTTGCAAATTGATTGAACGTGCGGTTGATTAAAGAGATTAGGTGGTCGCGAACGTGGTATATTAATTAGGTTACATATTTGCATCCCCGTTGTGACAGTCGCCGACGGTGAGAATGGAGATAAGCGTGTTCGGTGAACATTTGTCAAAATGTTAGAATTACCGGCTACGGGGCAACACGGTCGATTATCTGTGCATTTATTACAATTACTTCATCCTTAATTGCACTGACGAAATTAATCGTCGGATACTATTTTTGTTCGCCGTAGGCAAAGTAGATAGAATCTATTCCCACCGAATGTAGCACATAATTATGCGAAATAATTGAAATAACAGAAATTGATCTTTTAATAGAATTGAAATTTTCTTATTGATATCACAATTTAGTTCTTTTCGTATTTTCTTGATATGGATTTTTGTTTTATTTTTATTTAGTGCAACGTTATTGAAATTCATGCTATTGTTGTTATTAGAATTCTTTTTAATTGGGATTTTTATGGTTGGAATATTCTATGATTGAAATTATTATTATTGGAATATTCTATTATGAGAATTCACATTATTGCAGTATTCTATTATGGGAATTCCAACTGTTGCAATAGTCTTTCATGGGAATTTTCAATATTAGAATAGTCTATTACAGGAATTCACATTGTTATATTATTCTATTATGAGAATTCTCACTATTGTAATGTTCTATTATTGGAATTCTCACTGTTGGAGTATTCTATTATGAGAATTCACATTATTTCAGTATTCTATTATGGGAATTTCAACTTTGCAATAGTCCTTCATGGGAATTCACAATATTAAAATAGTTTATTACAGAAATTCACGATGTTACATTATTATATTATGAGAATTCACACAATTGCAGTATTCTATTATGGGAATTCCAACTGTTGCAATAGTCCTTCATGGGAATTCACAATATTAGAATAGTCTATTACAGGAATTCACATTGTTATATTATTCTATTATGAGAATTCTCACTATTGTAATGTTCTATTATTGGAATTCTCACTGTTGGAATATTCTATTATGAGAATTCACATTATTTCAATATTCTATTATGGGAATTTCAACTTTGCAATAGTCTTTCATGGGAATTCTCAATATTAGAATAGTTTATTACCGGAGTTCACATTGTTACAATATTCTGTTATTCAAATTCAAAGTATTGTAATATCCTATTATTAAAATTCTCCGCATTAACATATTCTATCATGAGAATTCTTATTATTCTTGCTAATTTCAAACTATTTCAATATTCCACTTATAAAAATTCTCAGCAAACAAAATACATTTCCCAAATAAATTTTGTCTTCATAAAATATATATTGATAAATACAAAGTCATAAAATAATAGAAGTATATATCATGGAATTATAAAAACTTATAAAATCATAGAATTATATGCAAAGTTGCAGACAGCAGCTTTCGTGAACTACGTAGAAATCACGAGTAGTCTGCGAACGAAAGAATTCGTACATCACAATTTAACACAAATAAAATTGATGTTACCCATAAGTTTCCTTCGTTTGATTTATATTCGCGACTATTTGTTACTTGATATATTGCGTTTTTTCCGTATCCAGAGTACCCAAGATATACTTCTTCATTAATAGGCCAAGTTAGTTCGTACTGTTGCTCGAGGCTACGATGCACAAGCTCGCAGGAAATCCTAGCATAGGTTAGCAACGTGTCAAAATGATATATCGTGTCATTTATTAATTTTCTCCAACATACGTGTCCGATATCCGGCAAGAAAAGTCGGATGCCCGCGTTAAGTGGTCGTTCAACATTTTTAGCTACCCATCTTAAAATTATTAACTGTCGTCGATATTAGATGTTTATGGTTTAACAGTGATTACAGTAATACACAGGTTGTATAATATATTTACGTTGACAGAGGGTAACTAATAGAAACATTAAAATTTTAATTCTCTTGTTATGCGTCATTTTTATTTTGATACAAATAAATTACCGTAATATATTATGGGACGTAATGCGTATGAAAATTAGTAGAGACAGGTTAAGGATTCGTGGAACAGAGTCGAGGTTTTGTTGCTCGAATTCTTTGTTCGGCTAATTTAGCCTCGTTGAATCGTGCACGCTAATTCGACGAGGGAAACGCGTGTATTACACACGGAAATACGACGATCGATTAATTACGTCGCTAATTATTCCGTTGTAGAATGACTGTGCGTTGAATTTATCGTCGAAATGCATTTTCGCGTTACACGTGTTTCCCTTTTCTGACTGATGCTGAAACAGGAGCTACAACAACGTTCAAAACGCATATTTTAACACTCATTTGAATGAATATTTATTACCTTCGCGAATGAGTATCAATTCAAATTGGTATGTTAATATTGCAGAATGGTAGGGGTCCTCTTTTATTGGCAGCTGCAGCTGGCCACCTGGACGTGTGTGAAACATTGCTGCTTCGAGAAATCGATGTCAACGCTGCAGATAACGTGAGTTAATATAATTAAAATTTTTATCGGCTCTTATCCCAACATCAAGTACTTCTTCCCTACATATCTTCTTAACAAGTTTTCATGTTTAAAATATTCCAAGACTATTTCAATTTCTCATTCTTAATTTTCAAACAAAAAATATTGAGTCTTAAAGCGTTAACGAGTAGCATTTACGGTTGACCATAAAAGATTAATAAATTATAAAAATACATATGCAATATTTATCCATACTTCACGAAATGCCGTGTCAGTAAATTGAAGCAGAAAATCATTAAACTTGAATAAGTATAAAAAATACATCGCGATTTTAATTCCGTAAAATGTAACACGAAATAAAGACACAAGAGGAGATAAGTACAGTGTGGCGAATGAATCGAGAAACGAAGCAACTAAATTTCAAGTGGCGAATAATTTGAAATTGACTAATAATTTACGAGCATGGGTGGGTTGTTCTTCTCGTCAGCTCTGCAATATATCAATATACGAGTTAATGAAGGGTGTAGGGATAATTACTGTATAATTGTGGGCTTACGCTGCCGGTGGAACAGCTCTTTAGTCTACGTGCTTGTATTTCCTTTCTGTCTTTGATGCACGCGAGTAAAGTACTTGTCAATAATATCCGTACTACAGTGATGACTTGATTTGTAAGCATTCTGATATTTACTAAAGAACTATTAGCTGGATCGATTCAAGAATTAATATTAGTGAAATTGAGATTGCCATGTCATTTGTAATGGGAGCTGTAGGTATGGGGATTTTTGTATTTGCTGATTTTGGGGTTTGGGGTGCAGGAAATTGGGATATAGGACATTGGAACGTAGGAAATTGGGATCTAGGGAATTGAGAATTTAGGGAATTGGGGGTTTAGGATACTGGGACATAGAAAATTGGGACGTGGGGAATTGGGGATGTAGGGAATTGGAGATTTAGGGAATTGGGGATTTAGGGAATTGGGGGTTTGTGATATTGGGGCATAGGAAATTGGGACGTGGGGAATTGGGACGTGGGAAATTGGGGATGTAGGGAATTGGGACGTGGAGAATTGAGACGTGGGGAATTGGGACGTGGGAAATTGGGGATGTAGGGAATTGGGGATTTAGGGAATTGGGGGTTTGGGATATTGGGGCATAGGGAATTGGGGATTTAGGGAATTGGGGGTTTATGATATTGGGGCATAGGAAATTGGGACGTCGGGAATTGGGGATGTAGGGAATTGGAGATTTAGGGAATTGGGGATTTAGGGAATTGGGGGTTTAGGATATTGGGGTATAGGAAATTAGGACGTAGGGAATTGAGGATTTAGGAAATTGGGACGTAGGGAATTGTGATGTAGGGAATTGGGGGGTTGGGATATTGGGGCATAGGAAATTGAGACGTAGGGAATTGAGGACTTAAGAAATTGGAATGTAGGGAATTGGGACAAGGGAAATTGGAATGTAGGGAATTAAGACGTAGAAAATTAGGGATTTAGGAAATTGGGACGTAAGAATTTGGGATGTAGGGAACTAGAGCTTTATAGTCTTAAGATGTAAGGAATTGATACCGAGACCTATACACCCAAACTTATCTAGACATACAATTTTAATATACCACTGTAACCCCAGTAAAAGACCGGTTTCCTCTGAAATAATTCTTCCACACAATATTTCATATCGAGTAAATGATTCATTACAAATATAGTGAGGTGGGGGTACAATCGAGATCATGTTCGTTATCTGGAAGGAAGATCCGGCTAGGCTTTAGTGGAGATACAATGCATCCATTGGCGCGGTGACTGACGGCCAATCTTCTCCCCCTTAGCTGCAGAACACGTTTGGCTAGATCCTGCCAGCAAGGGGTATCCCGAGGTGGCTGTATTTAGAGTCCGTATACACGCCGCTGGTGGCCATGGGATATTCCTACTAAATTCCCGTGAATATCTTCTTGCTTTACCTTATACCGAGACAGCCCTCACTTTCATTTTCCTTTTGCTCCTGTTGTTGCCTTTAAAGGAACGAGTACGCAATTTATGCTCGGATTAATAAAATAGTAATGTGTACATTCGTTTTTGAACACGTTCGGATGTTGTACGTATTTTTCAGACATTCGTAGATTATTTCGTGGTATTTCACGTCGACCGAGAAACAAATTCTGCGCATGACATTTATATAATCCATGCGTTGTAACAGGTACTTTTAGCATAACTCAAAGTATTCGTAGTGGAACTTGTGTACTTGTGGTGTACCTCTTTAATGCATTATCTATTCGTCTGATAAGTTAAAGATAATTTAATTAACAGGAAATGCATCGAAACAGGAAACCGGTCATTTTGATCAGGGCACGTCTTCGTTCAAGAACGGAATGACATGGAAATGAAGTTAGACTGGAATATCTTCGATCTAAAGGTTAATTGATTTCGCGAAACGATCGAAGAACGGATCCTCCGAGCAAACGTTCCGACTTTTTTTTTCACCGAACAGTATATCGATGGATACCGGCGATCGTAGGTACACGTACCTTTTGTCTGCATAAGGCAATCCGGCTAGAAGCGACGCTATACAGAATGCTGCCTCGGTATCTGCAAATGAAAGTTTGATATTTATTGGTGACCGATCTTAGAAATGTGCTGCGGTCCCTGTCTATGCCCTTTCCGATGCGATACCACGTGCGCTCGCGAGGATTATGGAAACGCGCGGCCATCGAACGCGTTTCCGTCGAAGCTCGAACAAGTTTTTTAATTCGCGGAAAGATGAAGTGCAAGCTTTTCACTGGCAGCTGTTCACTCTCGGGATTCATGACAGAGATCCAACATTTTTCTCGATGGCAGAACAATCTTTTTACACCGAAATAAGACGTTTCGGTTGTGAGAGAAGAGACACGAGTTGTGAGAGAATTTTTTAGCATTTTTGCAGGTTCTGTGGTATATACATTTGTATATTTTAAATGTTTATGTTAAACAGTATGTTTGACTACAAATATTGAAAAGAACTCGAACTCGACAGAACTCGATGCAGTATTAGTACTACGTGATTTTGTTGCGTATTGGAGGAAGGAAATAGCAAAGTATCAGTACATATTTAAAGCGGTAGTAGACTGTGAAAGAATTTTGCAGGCAATCGACGTGCACCGCAGGCAAACTGGCACGGTGAAGGAAATGTAAAGGGGGATGTTTGAATGGCATTTACAACCATGAAATTTACGACGATTTACCGGTATTTCTGTTTTGCTTTTATTTGCACCGCATAGCCGCGTTGCTGCTTTGGTCTGATATTCACGATGGATCCGCGGTGTATTTCTAAATCGGCATATTCTTCTCGCCAGACAGGTTTACGATAGTATACGTGGAAGCGGCAATTTAAGGCACTAAATCTGTGCCGCGTATCAGGCTATTTAATATTAGAAAAATCACGCGTCTCACGAAATATTTTGTTGAATACTGGAAGTTGCGCGTTTAATAACGCATATAATTCACTTCAACTGTTATGACTATGAACTGTGCATATAGACACGTGTTATAAAGCCATTCGATATATTGCTATGAGCCATTTATTACTCAGTTCTTTATCACTACGTGTCGTATATCGTTATATTGTATAATACGCGTTGCATGGCACTACATGCTATATTGCCATGTGCTATATATTGTTGCGCTATATTGCTACGCTCTATACTGCGATGTATCATATATCGTCACGCGCTATACATATTAACATACGCTATATCGCCACGTATTATATATTACTACGCATTGTATCACCACGCGCCATATATCGCCTCGCGTTATACCGCCACGCGTCATATATTGCAACGCATTGTATCACCACGCGTTATATTGCCACGCGCCATATATCGCCTCGCGTTATACCGCCACGCGTCATATATTGCAACGCATTGTATCACCACGCTATATTGCCACGCGCCATATATTGCCTCGCGTTACACCGCCACGCGTCATATATTGCAACGCATTGTATCACCACGCGTTATATTGCCACGCGCCATATATCGCCTCGCGTTATATCGCCACGCGCAATATATTGCAACGCATTGTATCACCACGCATTATGTTGCCATGCGCCATATATTGCCTCGCGTTATGCCGCCACGCGCAATATATTGCAACGCATTGTATCACTACGCGTTATATCGCCACGCGCCATATATCGCCTCGCGTTATACCGCCACGCGTCATATATTGCAACGCATTGTATCACCACGCATTATATTGCCATGCGCTATATATTGCCTCGCGTTATACCGCCACGCGTCATATATTGCAACGCATTGTATCACCACGCGTTATATTGCCGCACATCATATATTGCCTCGCGTAATACCGCCACGCGTCATATATTGCAACGCATTGTATCACCGCGCGTTATATTGCCGCGCGCCATATATCGCCTCGTGTTATATCGCCATACGTTATATTGCCAGGCGTCAAATATCGTTACTTATTGAATCACCATACGTTACATTGCCATGTGCCACATATGATCGCACATTGTATTCCCACACGGTATATTGCCACACATTGTATCACCCCGTGCTATATCATACCTAACCATACATCAAAATGAATGTTACAGCTAATTTTGTTACCTCATTCGCTATTGTTTCGCGAAATTTATTGTTATTATAATGCTAGTAATCCCAGTACAATAACTTGCATTTCTAACATTTTCACGCTGTTCCAAATATGTCCGTAAAATTATTGGGTCACGTATCGTAAAACACCACCACATGTATATACAACCGAGTCCAATTCGTTTAGTCTCGTAACACTATGAGATATCTGTGGCAGACCGGAGTGGATCGAAAATCCGACGTACCGTTCAGTAAATCCGATAAATTTCGACACGGTCTAGGCCACTCGGTTGTTTTCGATAATCTATGCGTACCCGTTCTTCAAGATTTCCTTCAGTGATCCACCTTCACGATTCCGCTCCGAGGACAAGATTTATGTAGGAAGCTTATGGGCCTCGCGTTTTCGAGAGACTCTGCCGCGAGGAATTTGG